CTTAAAGTTTGCGATGAAGGGTCAATGGGTGAAACTAATATTATGAAATCAAAACATTCTTGACACGTCTCGCAAATTTTATGAAAATCCATTATATATTTGTATATATATGTCGGTTGGAAAACTCACTGTTGAAATGAGATCTGGTTCTATTTTGAAACCTCCTTCGATTTTGACCTTTTACGCGAAAATAAAAAACAATTTAATCGCTACCAATATACCGGTAAAAACAAATATATTGTAATTTTTAACCTTGCCAACTGCTGCCACAAATCATTCGATTGACAGATTTCACGAAATCCACTTCTTTGCGAGCAAACCCTTCGGTCACCGAATAAATACTGGAGTCTTCTTTGAGATCACAGCCAACAAATTTCATCAAGTTATAAATTAATTCCCTTTGCGTCATGATAAGGTTGTCTTTCATGGTAGAAACATTTTGGTATTGGGCGAGAAGAGAGTCCTTTAATAAAATTTGGTTCAGAATGAGATGACAAGAAGGGCATTGTGCAGGTAGGTTTGGTGCTTTGGACATGTCTTGAAATTGGTGGGCAGGTGGAGGTAATGATAATTGATAACATTGTGGCGGTTGTGGATATGATGAAGAGGCTACTTGATAAAACGGTTGAGTGGTCAATGGAGGGGGTAATTGAAACAGTTGTTGTTGCAAGAGTGGTTGTTGATAAATTTGATATGGTGGTGGTGGTGGTGGCGGTGGAACTTGTGCTTGAGATACCTCCATCTCTTTATTATTTTTAGAAAAGCGTGTTCGAAAGCACGAAGACCGTTGCGTTTTGGAATACAAATGAACTACGAGAGTTTATTGCGCCGAAACGTGCTCGTCCTTATATCATGTATCAATTCTAAAAGTGCATAATATATATATGTATATACATTATCTGTAAATTTTATTACTATAATCTTGGCTTACATAATAGTAGTTTTTATTAAACTCATCGTCATATATTACTAACAAATAGGGTCAGTCATCATGTAATCATGTTGAAAAGTCGTAAGCATTTTTGAAAATGTTTCTCAAGAAATACATGTGCTGTATATGAATGTTAACATACTGCTGAATTGCAATTTTAAATGTCCGTACGCTAGAAGACGACAAGATCACATGCCATGCCTTATCATGTAAATATAAAAATATAGATACAGTATAACGAAACAAGACCATCATTCAATGTAATGCTCTATTTCAATCCACTTTATACGATCTGGACAAAATATTTTAGTTAAAGTTATTGGCTCATCTGTTTTTTACGGATATCTTTTATCACATAGTCTAATTGCAGTTCACGAGAGTCTTTTGTAATTGACCTCGGGGAAAATTAGTAGAAGGAAAAGAAACTAAATACGTACAGTATATAAGCAAACCAAATTGGGAATTTCTTGAGACATGTAGTCAAAACTTTTTTTCTACTTTAATGATATAAGACATTAATGAAAAATAGTATGAATACTAATTTGCACTCTCGTCCCTAATTGCTGGTGTTTAAAATCACGTGATATAGCGCTTCTGCGTCCTAGTAGTCTCTAACACTGGATTTGAGTTAAAAAGTATAAAAACTTACTCTTGGCGTTGCAACTTTTCTTAAAATTGCTGTATATTTTTTAAATATATGCTCATTTAACAAACAATTGCTAGAATGGTTTAATGTTTAAATAATAAATTTTAATATATCGGGATCACATTGTTATCAATCGATTTTTTATTTTAGTACTGGATTTTTAAAAATAATCTAAAT